GAATTTCAAATTTCACATTCTTTTAAAATTAAAGATGCAGTTGTGGTGGCAGAATAACGTGGGTTGTTTAAAATTTCTTTGTTAGATTAAATCTTCTTTCTGAGCATGTTTAAAATCTGTCTTTTGCAAGATTTTCTTTTTAGCCTCCTCCTCCCCTTTGTCCTTCACTACTATTCCCTCTCTACAAAGTTATTCCATTATTCCTATTTATTTTGGTATTATTTATTTTTGATCAGAAGCCACAAATATCTAGATAAACTGTTTGCCTGAAAATCACATATATGGGCTATTTTTTACTATCTCCTGTTTGAATTTATGCCTAAAAACTTTACTGTGGAATATCTGATGTGTAGTCATTGTTCAGACATTCAGTGACCTGTGAGGGGAGAGAAGAACATATGGACGCAGTTAATGCTAAAGTCTATATTTTTCTAAAAACATCTAAATTTCATGAAAGTTGGTTGAATATCTTCAATTCTTCTTATCCATAAAGTGACTGGTATATCTTGCTTCACTTTGCAATGTAATGACAATGAAAATTGAATTTAAGTGCATTTTATCTTCTCTCCACTCCAAAGCTTCTTTTGGTCTGCTACTACGATTTTTGCATGTAGGATGTTTACACTATTGCTTGCTCCACTCTTATCATCAGACCATACCTTTTCTATTTAGGGATTTAGTCAATGAGCAAAAGTGATGATGTATAATTGGGCAGTCTTTCCTTTTCTGCTGTATTGATATGCCCTGATGAAATTTACTGAAAATAAAATTTATTCTGTCTCCTGTAAAACACACACATATGCACAATTCTGGTCTCTCTATATTGGAAAAGATTTGTAGGATATTTTAATATTTATTTTACTTACTTCCCACAAACGTTTCCATGCCATTCATTAAGAGAGTTTTATATGATTTCTGCTGTCTTCTTTCTTTCTTTCTTTCTTTTTTTTTTTTTTTGATGGAGTCTCCCTCAGTCGCCCAGGCTGGAGTGCAGGGTTGCGATCTCGGCTCACTGCAAGCTCCGCCTCCCGGATTCACACCATTCTCCTGCCTCAGCCTCCCAAGTAGCTGGGACTACAGGCGCCCGCCACCACGCCTGGCTAATTTTTTGCATTTTTAGTAGAGACAGGGTTTCACCGTGTTAGTCGGGATGGTCTCGATCTGCTGACCTCGTGATCCGCCCGTCTCGGCCTCCCAAAGTGCTGGGATTACAGGCGTGAACCACCGCGCCCAGCTGTCCTCTTTCATTTGCTCCAAATTCTACTTAAATGCCAGAAAACTGTGCATTTGTGTAATGAAGCTAGAGGCATTCTCTTCCAGTAGGGATGATTTTTTCACTTCTTCTTCTTTAGCTTGGTTCAATGTGAATGAAGAAAATTTTACAAAGAGGCATAAATGCTAATTCTTTTTCATTTAATTTTTATCTCCTAACTTTTAAATTCAACAATATAATTTATAATTATTCTCTTAAAAATGTGTTCTTTACTGTTTCTGTCGGAAACATAAGCCTAGTAAGTTTTAGCAATTCATTCAGTTTGATGTTCTATGACACTGTGGTGTGACCATGTTGGTATATCCAGTTTGTGTCTATAAGAAATTAAACTGGTCAGAGCTGTGGCTATAGATTTAAGAATTAAATATAGAAGAAAAAGAACAAAATACACAAAAAGTAAGACCTTTTAAGTTATTCTGAATCTGGAGTCCTGGAAAGACTATGGGGTTAGTTGTAAAGTTAAGAAGTGGTACTGAGTTCAGTATTTGGAATAAATTTCATTTTTTCTTTACTTGTAGATTTGACCCTGGATTGACAGACAGACAGACAGACAGACAGACACACACACACACACACACACACACACACACTCCAATGAGCCACTGACTATTTTTTAATAGAAGCAGCAAATAGAGATATTTATTCCATATTATCTACAATAGCGTTTTGTGGCATCACTGTCTAACTGAAATGGGAAAATTGGAGCAATTCTATTTCCAAAGTTTGCAGACTATCAAGGTAGACATATTGTATATAGAAAAAAATGCAGACCTAAAGAGAAAGTTATAACACAATGCTTGAATATACAGGGTTCTTCAGGTCATTACAAACTAATTACTCTCAGTTTTAATCAATGATCTTGCTTCTATTATTTTCAACTTAGAAACTCCAGTAGAACCACACTCTGATAAAGACACGGGAATTTTCACTGAAATTTTTGTGACTTGTCTGTTGGCCCTATATATTAAGGCTCATTGAAAATGTGGGGCTGGATGCAGTGGTTCATGCCTGTAATCCCAGCACGTTGGGAGGCTAAGCAAACCTTGAACCTAGGAGGTCAAGGCCAAGTTGGGCAACATAGTGAGACCCCATATCTACAAAAATTAAAAATATTCACCACGTGTAGTGGTGTGTGCCTTAGTCCCTGCTATTTGGGAGGCTGAGGCGGCTGGATCCTTTGAGTCTAGGAGCTGGAATTGAAGCCAGCTGTGATCCTGCCATTCCCTTCTAGCCTGGGCGACACGAATCTGGGCAAAAATGTGAGAATCTGTCTCAAAAAAAAAATTAAAAATAAAAGTATTAATAAAATAAAATGTGGCTATTTGCTATATCACATTTCCCTATATTGAATCAGGAAACTTCTCTCTTCAGAATTTGTCACTTTGTGTTGTTTTGTTAGGTTCAGTTGTGAGGTTTTCATATGTTGTTAGGATTTATTTTCAATGTTAAAGCAACACATTTAAGGGCTGTAACATATGTTTAAAATGTTCATGTTGTTATAATGGATATGGTATTGGGGCAAATCTAACTTTTTATGATGCTCTTTAAATTTTGAGTTTGCGTGTTTAACAATAGTCAGTTGTTACTGATTATGACAAGCTGTACCAGTTATAAAAAAATGCATAATTGCACACAAAGTTTCAATTATGGTTCATTAATTACCAGAATAAAATTTCATTAACTTCTTGCTTGTATTTCTTCAAGCAAAGCAATATTTTTTTATCACTAAGTGAAAACTCAGTTTGTTTAGAATTACTGAAATATTTTCCTTTTAAGTTATTTCACTTTATTATTCAAATGCCTTTGGCACTAATTTTAAATGGCATCATTTTCTTTTCTATTTCATCAAAATGTACTCAATCTTTAATGTGGTAACTGCCACACAGTAAAACATAAGTAAATATTTGTTGAGTATATGAAAACAAATGATATAAAAATAGAAATTTGTTGAAAATTTATATATTTTTTCTCTAAAATCAAAAGCAATGACGGGTAAGAAAAAATATTATACAAACTTGAAACAAAGTATTATAAAAAATTATACAAACTTAAAAATAAGCATTTAAATTAAGTAGACTAGTAAGACCTGGAAAGTTCTCTAAGACTTCAAATACAATTTTCTGTATTTTAAAAATATACCTTACAATTCAAGTTAAATGTCAGATGTGATGTTTGTTCTCCACTGCTGCTATACAAATGCTACATATAATTTAGCATTATTGTAGCTTTTCTTGACCCAACTTGATCATTTTAATAGGTATTTAAAAGATTAATTCACAGAAGAGTAAAAACTGGGCATATTTTTCCTGTTTATTTTTCCCAAGACAAATGCAGAAGTGTAGCATTTAGTTTGCACTCTATGTTTTTCTCCCTTGTCACATGTACTACTTTGATTAATAAGAGATTAACTTTGTGTATATTTCTTCAATAGATTTCATCTTTAGTTGGGACAGTGTTTGAGCTGATGTTACATTAAAGGTTAAAATATCTGCAATTACGCATAAAGGAGCTTTCCAGTGTAATTATAATAACCAACATAATTTTCTCCTTTATGCAATCTACTGTCATGTTTTCTTTAAAATTTTAATTGGCTATGTACTATTTGTAATATGGGGTATTTGCTTTCACAGAATAAACAACAGTGTTCCACAAAGAGGAAAAATTGCAGTGAAGAATGTCTGCACCACACTTGTGTTATAGGATCTTTAGGGTATCAGTTTTCTTTCCCTGAAACCTCTGTTGCTGGTAGCACCTTTGCCCTTTGCCTGAGTTGTTGTCCTGCGTCTGGGAAGAATGAGGTTTGCTGACAAGTGAAGGTTGAAGAAGATGAAGAGGAACTTTATTTAGCGTTAGAACAGTTCAGAAGGAGATCCACAGTGGGAAGCTCCCCTCTGTGGGGAGGCAGGTCGTCTTTGCAGTGTTCAGCTCTCAGCAGAGAGGAGGCCCTGGAGAGAGGAACTCCTCCCCACTCACTGGCAGTGCCAAGGTCCACTGCTCTCAGAAGACAGGAGGCCCTGGAGAGAGTAACTCCTCTCTAGTCACTGGCAGTGCCGAGGTCTGCTGCTCTCAGCAGAGAGGAGGCCCCCAGAGAGAGTAACTCCTCCCTAGTCGCTGGCAGTGCCGAGTTCCACTGCTCTCAGCAGAGAGGAGGCCCTGGAGAGGGTAGCTCCTCTCCTCAGGCAGGTCTGCAGGTCATTTGGCAGTCTCTGCAGGTCTCTGCAAGTCCCTGATGCTCTTAACAGAGGAGTAGCTCCTCTCCGCTGCTGGTCTGCCTAACCTCTACTCAGCTCTAGGGGAGCCTGGGGCTTTTTATGGGCCTCAGAGGGGAGGAAGTGTGTGCTGACTGGCCCATGGGTGGCCATGGGCAGGCCTGGAAAAGGCACCAGTTCCCACTCCAGTCCGTGCGACTGGCAGCCCGAACCCCCAGCCTCTCTGGTCCTCTCTGGTCTGAGGGAGGGACCTTGCCAGGGACCCACCCCCTTCTGCCTGGGACTGTGCCTCCCACTGTTGTTGGCTCCCAGACTTGGCCCGACTTTGCTCCGAGATCCCAGTGGGCACCAACAGCAGGGAGCAGCCAGGCAGAGAGGGCAGGCATTTCCTAGCCTGCAAGGGCAGGGGCCGCCTTGTCAGGCCCCCAAGAGTGCAGGGATGCCTGAGTCTGCAGCGGCGGTTTGGGCGGTTGCAGCTCTGCCCAGAAGGGCGGGGCTCTTTCCTGTTCTGTGGAGCAGGCAGCCCCAGCCACGTCTCCCTGCTGCGCTGGGATGATAGCAGTCTGGCTGGAGCGGCTGCCACTATTGCTTGTACTCTTCTTCAGCAGATAATTACCAGAAAACATAAAATAAAAACCAGTGCCCACTTTCTCATGGTTATGACAAAAGGTTTCACCACGTGGAGGTTAAAAAGCTCTGTTAAAATACGGACTGCGAATCTTGGTAGCAAAAAAATCCCCACAAAAGTAACATTGCTACGTGTGGGTTTTTATGTCAGTTGATGATTCTCTTATCTCTTTCATTGGAACATGAAAATGACTGTTTTGGATATATAAGACATTTTCAGTAAAGTAAAAAAATGAACTAAAAGTATAACTTTTCCAAACCTATAACTTTATTGAATATATTTGATTTGTGGTGTGCAGATAGAAATAATTGTGTATTTTGTAGTAGCCAGTTAACCACTAATAATAAAAAAGAAAGCTAGAGCATCAGAAAAAGTTTCCACCTTGACAGGAAAAACAAGACTTGGGTCATTAGACTCTAATAGCTTTTAATGTCTTGGGACATCAAAACAATTACCACTTGGAGAAAATGATTTAGCTAGCTGTGAAAGCTACTCAGGAGTAGCTAAATACTTACAAATGTTTCACAGATTTGGTCTGTGAGCTTTATGACCATCTCTGGACAGATGATCAGCCTTGGTATTGGAATTGCTCTGCGCGGTATGGAGCCTGTCCTAGAAAAGCAGGTACCTTCTTTTGGTGCTCTTACCAAATATAGAAAATTTAACAGTATGCCCAACCATCCTCTCACATTTGCATATACTCAAAATAAAGGAAGTCTCAGAACCACAGTTTCAATTAAGTCAATCTCTGTCATTCTAAATCCTTCAAAGGCAAGTTCCACCTTTCCCCCATGATATATGTATGAGTTTTTTTACTCTTTCTCCCATGGTACATATGTGGGTTTTTCCAAAGTTTAGCCATGTTGGTTCAGCACAAATCTGAAAACTGTGTGTCTTTTGAAGGAAAACACTTTCTAGAAAACTCTGTTCTTCCTTTCTGTTGTGATATTTCTACACTAATTTGCAGAAAAAGTTGCTAATGCAGTAGCTTCCATAAATCTCTTTGTCTCATTGAAAATTATTTATCTTTTATATGTGCCGTATACCCCAACCTCACTGCAATATTTTCCTAGGATAAATAATCAGATGCAAGAGATTAAAACATGCAACATGAATCATCAGAGGCTCTTCTACACATGGGGCTGCACTTTTCTTGAAGCCTCAGTAGTAACAGTCACATTCTGTTTAAATGCTGAAAAGCCAGTCTACTACTGGTAGTTCAGTGTATTACTGGTATTTCTGGGAATCCCTGAAGAAAGATAGCATATTTCATAAATCTCTTCTGGTCACTGATAGTTAATTTTTCTATCCACTATCCTTCCTACTCTCATGAATCACTTTTCTTCTTTTTTATGGCTCACTTCTTTTTCTTTCAAAAATAACTTTCTGCTTGTAATTCCAGCACTTTTGGAGGCCAAGGTGGGTGCATTACCTGAGGTCAGAAGTTCGAGACCAGCCTGACCAACATGGTGAAACCCCATCTCTACTAAAAATACAAAAATTAGCCAGGCATGGTGGTGGACACCTGCAATCCCAACTACTCGGGAGGCTGAGGCAGGAGAATTGCTTGAACCCAAGAGGTGGAGGTTGCATTGAGTCAAAATCATACCACTGCACTCCAGCCTGGGCAACAGAGCAAGACTCCATCTCAAATAAATAAATAAATAAATAAAAAGTAACTTTCCCAGGATGTTGCTGTTTACCCAGACTATTTTGGTTTAAACCTGGGTACAGGTTCCTTCTTAATTCAGAGTGTGGTTAAGACAATGCTATTAACATTTCACAACACATTACTGAAATACAGGGAATAGCAAACTATAATGCAAATCTTTGAACTGAATTTTATCTATATAATCAATAGCAAGATATTTTATATGAAGTCTTACCTTGATAAGTTTTTCTGAAGCCTGTATTCATGTAACAAGGTTCAGAATGTAACCATAATAATACTTTTTGAACATGATTCCTCAGCGTGAATCTCCATGAAAATTACAGTGTTTAACCTCTACTTTAAGGTTAGTCTTTCAACAAATATTCTAATAAATAACAAAGACTTGTGCTAATGTCAGGCTATTTGTTGCAGGGCCTATTGTAAGAGAACTTTGCTGTTCTCTCATGTTATGAGACATTATCATTATTTCCAGGACAGGCATTAAGGTCAGTCTTAAAACTGGTTATGGGGAGGCTAATTTCACCCCTACATCTATTCTCCTAGGATTGGCATGTCGAAGCTCTGACAGGGAAGAGGATAAGCTGAACCTAAAGGAAAACTGGGAATAGAAATACTCTTCCAGTAATGAAAGCAGATTTGTGGTTAACAAACGTAAAACCAACTACATATTGATCTATCCTATATCCTGTCATCTTCCTCAGGGTACATCTAAATTTCAGCTGCAGTAGCAAGTTTTGAGAAGAACTAGAACTTACCCCTTGGAGAGAGTGAGAACAGTGCTTTCCGTCCTCCTTGTTCAATCTAAGCACTCCCGCAGTCTCCAAATGGATGTTTTAGGGTATGAAGTTGTTCTCTTTAAGTGTTATTTGGCAGAATAACCAAAACTTTCAGATACTTATGTGACACAATAATGATCCGAACTAAATCTTTTGTACCATATGAACAAACTAGACACTTTTTTTATTTGACTATTGAAAGCTGTAACATGTTATATAAAATGGCTTTCTGGAGAAAAGCAATAGGGTTTCTGAATTATAAACGTTTGAACATTAAGTTGAATATTTGTTTTTTGTACTTCAACATGACAAACAGCATAGACTAGTTTGACATTATTATAAAGTAGATATGTGTAAAGATAGCACATACTTACTATCTTGAAATTTCCAATTGCAGAAGAAGCTATTGATAATCTTTATATATTCAAATATACAATAAAGTATCTAGGACTTCCATATGTATGTGTGTGGGGGCAGGGGGGGTGGATGTTCTCTTTTAAAGAAAGAATGGTCTTCCCTGAAAATCATGTCCACATATTCACCAAGTATGCATCTAGACCTCAAATTAGAACATGTAAGAAGAACGTTTAGCAAGAGCACTGCAATGCATTCAGTTTAATAAGGAATTCACCATATTAACAGGTTTGGTTCTTTAATGTATAAGTGTTAACTTTAACATAATATTAAGTGGAAAATCAAGTTTAATTTTTCCTCAAATTATTATGAATGGAAGTAAAATTTGGCAAAATCTGATAAATCTAATACTGTTATGACTAAATATTAAATATCACAATTAGACAAAGTGCAGGAAAATTTTGGCTTCTCTGTAGAATTAACTACTATTATTACTATCTTTTCATAGATAGATCTGTCTTCTGCAAATTAAATGTAAATCACTTAAGTCCTAATTGATAAAAATAAAAACCTTTAAATTTGACAGACTAAATGCGCATATAGCATTATATAGTGATTTATTTGTGAAACCATAATTTATTAAATATACATATTATATAATGCATTAGCAATTGATACATCAGCAAATTAATGAATTGGTTAGAGATTTTTATTGTGAGTGATGACATGAATGAAATATTTTACTTTATTTATGCTATCAATGCTGTTTCTAGCCACAAAATCTTGAAGATATTCTTTTATATTTTGTTCTAGAGTCTACAGTTGTACATTCACATTTATGCCTAAAATCTATGCATAATTAATGACTTACGAACGCGATATGATGAACGGGTCAAAATTATTATTTTTAAAAGGACAGATATTCAATTGCTTATCTGCCCCTTGAATTGTGGTGCCACTTTTATTTAAATCTTGTTGTCATATACGTGTGTCAATTTCTGGACTTTCTCTTCTCTTCCAGTAGTCTGTTTGTTTCCATTACCACACTGGTTCAATTATTGTAGCTTCAGAATAAGCCTTGAAATCTGGTACTGTAATGGATAATTCTGCTAATTCACCTTTAGGATTCTCTTGGTTAGTTTTGGTTTTTGCATTTCTATATTAATTTTAGAAAAAGGTTTTCACACAGACATCTTGTTGGGATTTATATTAAAATTATATTATATAGATCAATATATAAATTAAATATATAATATGCTCAATATAGATAGAATTGACACCTTAACAGTATCTAGTCTTACAATTTATTAGCATGGTTTATCTCTATTTATTTACATTTAAAAATATATCCCATATTTTGAAATTTTGCAAAAATTTCACATTAATTTATAGCTTTCAGTGTAGGCCTTTAATTCATATTAGATTTCTTCCTCAGTATGTGATATTTTAATTTATTTTTATTCAATTTTTATCTTTTATTTAAGTATTTATTTTTAAATTTCATTATAATTTTGTATTGTTGTATGTATAATGGCATTATATTTACCAACCACATAAAATATACTTATTAATTCTAACAATTTATTTTTAGACTTTTTTGTATTTTTTACATATGCAATTAGGACATATGTAAATAATAATTTTTGTTTCTTCTTTCCCATTTTTATATGTGTTCTTTCTCTGGCCTTATTGCACTTTCTAGGCCTTCCAATAAAATGTTGAGTAGAAGTTGTGGTTGTGAATGTCCTGTGATGGTTAGGATCTCAGAAGAAAGCATTTAATATTTCAATATATTATTATTTTAGCCACAGAATGTTTCGGTATCTCTCTATTAATTTGTTTATTTTTGGTGCCTTGATTTGGTATTTAAGGAATCTGACAAACTTGAGGTTGCCATCCTTTGAATCCAGGCCACATCAAGTGTCATGGTGCTATGATTGTCCCAATTACAGACACAACTAATATCCAGCAACAACCATCAGACACGTGAGTAAAAGGATCTCCAGATCATACCATCATGTGAACCTCAATTGTTGAGTCTCCCTCACTGATCAAGTATTTAAAGCTGAATTCCTACATACAATGGAACAGAGAGAGCCATTCTTGCTAGGCTTTGCCCAAATTCCTGATCTACAGAACTGATACTATATGAACATAATAGCAAAAAGTAATTTTTCATGATGAAATGTGTAGTGGTTTGTTATGTAGTAATAGTAACCAAAACAAAAGTTTATATTAAGAAATGTTTCATTTATTTATAGTTTGTTATAATTTTTTAATCATAAAAGCATATTGAATTCTATCAAATAATTTTTCTGCATCTATTGAGATGATTATACAGTTATCTTTTATTCGGTTAATGTAGTAAATTACATTGATGTTTTTTAAAAAATGTTAAGCTATTTACATTGCTAAATCCCAATTAGTCATAATATTTCATTTCTTATAAAATACTTAAATTATATTTGATAATATTACTTTTAAGACTACTATCTGTTTATTAGATATATTATACAGTAAATTTATGCTCTTGTAATATCCATGTCAGGTATTGATATCAAGGTTTTGCTAGCCTCACATAATGTGTTGGTAAGTGTTACTTCTCACTATATTCTACAGAAGTGTCAAAAAAAAGAATGGCATTTTTTTTCATTCATGAATTTTTGAAAAAATTCATTAGTCCAGAAGTCACTGGACCATTGGGGCCTGGAACTTTCTTTCTAGGAAGGTTTTTGACTATAAATTCAGTATCTTTGGTAGAATAAGCCTATTTAGTTTTTCTTCTTATATTGTACTAAATTGTTTTTTCCAAGGAATATGGCCATTTAGTTTCCATTTTCAAATATATAGGTAAAATGTCTGAAATATTTTGCAACTTGCCCAAGATGTAGTCATTTTTGGTGTTTGTCCATCTTTTATTTAATTTCTTAATATTAACATGGTTATTTTGAAATGTTTGACTAATAGCTTTAAAGTTTGTATTCTGTCTGGGTCTGTTTATATTCATTATTTTACTTTTCAACTATCAGTCATGTTGTTTTTCTTCTTCCTGTGTCTAGATGATGATTATGATGATGATGATAATGATTGTGTGTCTATTGTTGCAAAGAATACATTGTGGGGGCTCTAAGTTACATTACCATCATCTAAAGTTAGTTGAAAATTGTTGTGGTAGTTACTTAAACTGCCATCGGCACACCCGAATTCTGTGAAGAAATTTTCTAGGCGAGTCTATTTCAGTTTTGTCCTTATTGCTAAAGCATGTTCCTTACTCTTTGCACATATTTTTTCTTTTCTCAAAACCTTTATTAAGGTTTCTCTACTTTGATGGAGCCTGAACTCCACTGTCCGCTTTCTTTGCACCAGTACCGCACTATCTTAATTACTCTCATTTTATAATATCACTTAACATATGATAGTGAAAACCCAATTTTATCCAACTTTTTTACTATTATTTTGACTACTCTTGGCCTTTTTGCATTATCCTATACATTTTAGAATTGGTTACAGTTTGGAGAAAATACTCTTCTTTAAAATCTTCTAATACTCGAAAATCGTATATCGTTCTATGTGTCTGGTTCCTCCTTAATTTTTCTCAGTAATCTTTTGTAGTCTTTCTGCAGGAATGTTAGACAGAATTTAAAAAATTTCTTGCTAGCTTTCTGATGATGTTAAATAAAACCCTTTAAGAATTTCATTACTTAATTTTGTGTAGCTGGTAGCTAGAAATACAATAGATATTCACATATTGATTTTAGATTCAACAACTTAAAAATTAATAACAAATTGTAATGGTTTGTCTGCAGGATCTTTTTGTATTTGTCAGTATAAACATTTGTGCAGCTAAGCATGTCAATTTTATTTCTTCTTTTTAACTTTTATATTCATGATTTTGATTTATTAGCTTTATAACCCTGTATAGATTCTCCAGTGCAATGTGAAACTAAGATTTTTTCTCATTCCCAAATCAGAAATTTTTCAATATCTCATCATTAACCAGCTTATATCACAAGATTTTTATTAATGATAATTTTATTTATTTATTTATTTACTTGTTTATTTATTTGAGACAGGGCCTGGCTCTGTCGCCCAAGTTAGAGTTCAGTGGGAGCATCGCAGCTCACTGCAACCTCTGCCTGCCAGGCTCAAGTGATCCTCCCACCTCAGCCTCCAGAGTAGGCGGGACTGCACCACCATGCCCAGCTAATTTCTGTATTTTTTTGGTAGAGATAGGATTTCGCCATGTTGCCCAGGCTTGTGTCAAACTCCTGGGCTCAACTGATCTGCCTGCCTTGGCCTCCCAAAGTGTTAGGATTACAGGTATGAGCCACTGCTCCTGGCCTAAAGATAATTTTATAAGTTTAAAAAATTTCACTTATATCTCTAATTGGGTATTAGTTTTGTTTCATTTGGTCACACATATATTTGAATTATATTCAATTCTTTTATATTACTTCTCAGCATAATCACATTATTTCCGATTTATTTTCTTATTTATGATAAATTACACTGATTTTGGAAATGTTAAAGCAAATTTACTTACTTGCAATTAAGCCAACTTGGTCATCCTATGCTATATTAGATTTGATTTGCTAATATTTTGTTTGAAATTTGTGCATATTTTTGAAAAATATGGGCCTAAATTTTCCTTTCTTTTAATGTATATTTCATGCTTAGATATCAAAGTTTTAGTTACTTAATAAAGAGAATTGGAAACATTATTCTCTTTTTATTTCTTTTATTTTTTCCATATTCCATTGGTTACTGTGTGAAAGATGTAAATTCTTCTTAGGCTTAAGGGTTTAAATTCTTCTAAGCAAAATTTAAAAGTCTACTTCTATGATGTGCTTTGTCTATTATTCTTTTCTGTTCTGTCAATTTTTGATTTCTGTATTTGCAAGCTAGTATTTGATAGTTAATAATTGATGAATTTTATATTTTCCTAGTAACCTGGTATTTTAAAATTATATTTAAAAATTCCTGTTTTTTTCTGGTGTTTCTTTCCTTAAAATCTAATTGGAAAAAATATCTATTTTACTTAATGGTTTTTGTCATATAATTTTTCCAATTGCTAACATTTTAATTTATATTTATATTTAAATGAGTCTCTTCTAGGACCTATGTACTTGTATTTTTTAATCCAGCTCATCAATTTTGAATTTTAATTGGTATATTACTCTCTTCACAGGTAGTAAAATTACCGACACACACACACACACACACACAATATATGTATATACTTTAGACAATATAAAGTTACCATCTTAATATTTGTTTTGTATTGGCCTTTTCTATCTGAGACCATTCTCGTTTGAAGACTCTGTTTCAAAACTGTCCTTGGGTTTTTATTGAAGCTCAGCACCTTTCTCTGCCTAATCCTGCTTCTCCCCACGCCCTTCCTTCCACAGGTGTTAATCATGTGAACACTCCTCAGTGAATACAATGTATAGTAAACTATACCTTAGAAGCCGCTTCATAGGGAAGCAGGCAGTCAGAGAAATTGGGTGTACAAAGCTGGTTGCTGTATCACATACTCCTGGGTGGCAGTAAAAACACTATCACTGGTCATAAGTACTGATAAATCCTAAAAAAAAGTTGGTTCAATTGTTCAGTGGTACATTAAAGGACATACTAATGAAAATCAATGTATGAATTAGTGTAATAGTCCATGTGTTTGATAAATATAGGAGAAGGAGAAGTAACTCCAAGAATGATGGGACTGGGTACCTATTAGAACAGGATTCCAAAAACTGAGAAAAACTAGTCATGAACTGAAAACAGATTTGAAAGTCAGAGGGCCTCTTTACTGAAAAAATAGGGTAGAGGAAGCTGAGTAAATGGGCCAGGATAATTCCAGATTAGCCATCGTGCCTCCTTGTTTGAAGTTAATGCAGAATCTTCTGCCCTAGAGGACAATAAGTATCCCACTCAGGTGTCTCTCCTTCTTCTCATTTGGCCAACATAACCTAGGGGAACATGAACTGCACCTGATAAGAGAGGGGAGGGGAGGGTCTATAACTACAAAATACTGTGTGATGTAAGCAGAATTTACCTGCAGAAGCTGAGAGAAGATATTTGGAATTGTTTTTTGTGGGGAATTAAACAAGGTGTCTACTTTTTTTATTTAGCATAATTGAAAACATTTTGTCCTTTCCTAGTCAATTTAAAAATATTAAATATTTTGAATGCACAATTATAAACATAGAATTATATTTTAATTCATATTACATATGAGGTATTTTCCTATGACCTAGAATTTCATATAAATGTGGTATATTTCCTGCTTTTGAAGAATCTACAGTGGAAGACTGATATGGTTTGGATCTGTGTCCCCACACAAATCTCATGTTGAAATATAACCCCCAGTGCTGTAGCTGAGGCCTGGTCGTAGGTGATTGGATCATGAGGGTGGTTTCTAATGGTTTAGCACCATCCCTGTAGTGCAGTTCTCATGATGGAGTTCTCAGGAGACCTGCTTGTTTAAAAGTGTGTAGTACCTCCCCCACTCTCTCTTCTTCCTGCTCTGGCCATGTGAGGTGTACTCCCCCTTTGCCTTCTGCCATAATTGTACATTTCCTGATGTCTCCCCAGAAACTGAGCAGATGCCAGCATCATGTTTCCTATACAGCCTGAGGAACCATGAGTCAATTAAAACTCTTTTCTTTTTAAATTACTGATATAGTTTGGATTTATTTCCTCGCCCAAATCTCATGTTGAATTCTAATCCTCAATGTTGGAGAAGGCGGCTGGCAGGAGGCGATTGGATCACAAGGGTGGATTTTCCCCTTGATATTCTCAAGATAGCAAGTGAGTTCTCACAAGACCTGGTTGTTTAAAAGTGTGTGGCACCTTCCGCTTTGCTCTCTTCCTTATTCTCCAGCCATGTAAGATGTGCCTGCTTCCCCTCTACCTTCTGCTATGTAAGTCTCCTGAGACCTCCTCAGTGATGCTTCCTGTGCAGCCTGAAAAACTGTGAATCGATTAATCCTCTTTTCTTTATAAATTACCCAATCTCAGGTAGTTCTTTATAGCAATGTGAGAATGAACTAATACAATTTCCCAGTCTCGGGTATTTCTTTATAGCAGTACAGAAAATTGGGACCTAGAAGTGGGGTATTGCTATTAAGATACCTGAAGATGTGGAAGCAGCTTTGGAAATGGGTAACAGACAGAGATTGGAAGAGTATGGAAGGATCAGAAGAAGACAGGAAGA